CATCCACAAGAAAATCCTCCAGACCTCGCTCTTGCTGGAAGGACTCGAACTCTCGCGCGACCGGTAGCAAAAGCCTCGCTCGAGGCTCTGACCAGCGCCGCTCTCGCTGCGGGCAGCTGCCCGGAGACGCTGGTGCCTCGAGGCGACAGCGAACCGGGGCTGAGCCGGGAGTGTGTTTTTTCAGAAAACTCGGGCAGTCGCAGATCGACAGACTGCTTCCAGGTAGCCACCAAGGAAAACAACAAGGTATCCAGGCCTTGGCAACGGCTCCACATGCTGGCAGGTCGGCCCTGCAGGCGTCCAGCCAACATCTTGAGCTGCAAGCCTTCCACTCCCCCAACACCAGGAGCTGACTCCATCAAAGTCTCGAAAAGGTCCTGAGACATGCTCCATGCCCTGCATTGAGGCCTGGAAGTCCGTTCTTGCTTGGACTCTCCACGCTGCGGCTCAGTGACGGGTGACTTGCGGCAGATCCAATAAAACAGGCGCGCAAGCTCAGACACCAGGCGAAGGTTGTCGGACCTCAATCACCACTGCCATGGAGAGACCCATCACTCCATGGCTTGTCTTCAACCATTCTCCAATGCTCTTCAGAAGCAGACATGCTCGCAAAAATGGCGCCGATGGTCCGAAGATCCACCTGGCAGGCGTGGTCGTACTTGATCATCCTGGCCAGGTCAAGAGGGCATATTATGATCATTACAATTAGCACTGAAAGCATTCCGATAGCTACCACTGGTCAGTAATACTGGTTATCGAGCTATTAGTCAGAATAAACATGTAGGAGGGCAGTGCAAGCAGGTCACTGCTCAGAACGGTGCGCAAAGATCGTGCTAGGTCTCTCGATAGATATGCAACTGGCGGGCTCCACGTGCCCATGGTATGGGCACAGTGAGCCATAGCAGAGATGTCTCTGGCCTGGGACACAAACACTCCAGGTCTTTGCGCTCAGAAATCTGCAAACCGGTACAAGCTTGAAGCAGTGGGCATGCCCAGCTTGAGGCAGCGGCCCATTGCCCCATCCGTGCAACGCTGCTGCCATCACTCGGGCGCAAGTAGTTCGTCGATTTGAAAAACGACTCCAGAATGTCACCGACGGAACCTCGCAGAGATACAGATTTGTCACGTGCTGATGTGCCGGCTGGAGCCGTGCACAGCGCTTTGATGCAGCCAGGTTGCCACTCAGGAAAACTGGCAAATTCTGCGGATCTGCTGAGATTTTCACCTTGCAAGGATTGGGGAAGTAAAGCCCTTTATCCTGACATGAGCACAATACGCATACCTCACGGCGACAAGATGTAGCATGATGTCTCTCTGGAGGATGAGTCAGGCGAAAAAACTGGTCCAAGCTGCAAAGGTGTGCGTAGCGATTTCAACAGCCGCAGGAACCTGCATGCAAATTACATGAAAGCGACCAGGCCATGCAGTAGGCGAAGCAAGAGTCACAGTGATGCCAACAGCAACCCGCCTGATTCAGAGCAATGCAAAGAAAATTCAACACGCTCGTGGAACACAAAGATGGCATGAACCTCGATCGGCCCAGTGTCAATGACTCGTGTCTCTGTGTGTGGGTGTGAGAGAAGGAAGACCGCGTGCTCGAGAATGCTCATGGAAGCACACTTGTGGCTAGTCCGCTGACAGTCTAGCGTCTAGTTGTCTGCAGGTTAATATCTGTACAGGCCATGGAATACTCGGTACGTTTCACATGACACGACTGATGCTGCGGACTACAAACATGGGTTCAAGCGAGCTGATCGACTGTGGTCGTGGCTCCGGATAGTCTGCCATCTCCAGGATTGTCTCCTTTGCGAAGCACGAGATTGGACTCGAGACTGAGGAAAGTCACTTCGCTTGGTATCACAGACGCCCCCGGACCATTGCGACAGCCACGGCCCACAGCAAGCAACACCGAGTGCAAGTGCGAAGTCGAAAGGATTGTGGAAGTCGAGGCCGTACGGAGGCATGCAATGGCTTACGGCTCACGATCGGCAGAGTGCTTGGAGAGCACTGCGAAGCCAAGGGCTGCTGCTTCGAAACCTTGTAGAGGCTGCTAAACGACCGGCCTGTGTAAAAGGACCGTTCATAGCGCTTTGGCTCCACCCATCCTGCCTGCCGCAGACACCTTTAAGCAAAGGGCCGAACAAGCTGCGCTCTTTCTACGACACGGGCCCCCCCCCCCCGGGGAGAAGGTGCCAAGGTCAAGATCTTCCATGGACGAACTCAGCAGAGAAGTGGAAAACCAGGCACCCGAAACCGCAACGAGCGACCGTCAGAGATTGTTGGCAACGGTTGCTTCAAGTCACTCTGCGCAACAAACTGAGACCACCGCAGCAGCGAGGAGCTGAAAGCGGTGTTCCTGCTTTGTCACTACATGAGGCTGACAGAAAACGGCTTGTCGTCATAGCAGGAGCATGGGCGCTGAACGCTTCAATGGACACAACATCGCCAGGGCATGGGGATCACGGGCTGCTGCGCCGTCCTCTGCGCTATCGCCCTCTTGAAGACCTGGCTCTCTTCCGCCGAAGCAACAAGAATCGCCTTGGACAAATGTGAGTTGCCTGGTGTCTGGTCCTGCTCTTCCTCCTCCAGATCCTCTGCGCCTGACTGCACAGCCGGTGTAAGCTCAATTCTAGTGCTGAGTGCACCTCGAGTCTTGCAGAGGCGGCTTTTCGAGACAACACACAAACGGCCTTCTTTGGGCATCGTGAGGAGCATCATGGAGCCTGCACACAACTCTGAAAGATAACCAGGTTCCACACTCAAACAAGCCCGTACGAAAACGCTTTGGGCCTACAAAGTCAAGCTGGACAAGCTTCTCGCGAGCCTGACGAGGAGCCCACAGGCAGAGGCCCCATACATCTCCTCGGCAAGCGAAGCGCCTGTTTGTTGTGGAAGAAGGTGCGACTGACCCGAACCTTGCTCCGAACAGATGCAGCAGGATATCAACGCTGCTCGGACGGTTTCCGAGGTGCAAACCCCCAACTCCCGCCAAGGCGTCACAGAGTGACGAAAGGCCTCGAAAACCAGGGCATGACCAGATGGGGCACCCTGCTAGAAGCTGAGCGGGCCAGTCAGGGTCTGATCCAACCGCTTTTGCACGACTTTCGAACGAATGCTTGCAAAGTGGCAACCTCACAGTATTACAAACCCTGGCAGAGAACAGGAATACTCGAATAAGTGTACTTTTTATGCTGGTCGCCACCGTCATCCACTGCGGCAAGCAGCAGATACGGAGCATGGAAAGAAATGCAAGTGCAGTCAAGCTTCATGTTTGAGGTGCTTTATGCAGTTCTCCATGACTAAGTTGTCATCCTCGGCGGAGTTGTTGAGGGATTGCGGGGGCAGTCAGAGGTCGCACCACGCGTTTAGGATCGCTCGGTTGCGTCCGAGAGTCGAAGGTGGGATGATTTTCATGGCGCACCGTGCTGATGAACTCCCACAACTCTCGAAACTTCTTGATCTCCTCTGCAGGAACCATTTTGTAAGTTGACTCTGCTTTGAACAACCCAGGGTCAAGGCGTTTTCTCTGCAGGCAGCGGCAACCGCGGCGTTGAACTCACTGTAAGTCATCTTGGCCTCAAGGGCCACAGTAAAGAGAGTTGTAGTGCCTGAAGCCATGAGTCATCCGTAAGCTGACAGAAGCGGTCAGAGTGCGGTCAGAGTGTCTTGGCGACAGTCGACTAAAGGTCGGCGGCCACAGTGTCTCTAAGAATAAGGTGGCGAAGCTTTGAGATGCATGCCCACGAACATGTGTCCGTGCTCTACCGAGAAGAGTCAAACTATACAAAACCTCTGGTTAGAGTCGGTTAGAGGTCAGCAGATAGTAGTCTCCAGTTATATACAGCAATACGATTGCCCACGGTACCAGAAGCCGGTGTGACATCCGACAGTGACGAAAATTCCAGGGGGAACAACTGCCAGGGCCGAGACACGCCTGGGACGAGCCCGAAAGGCCGCTCTGCCTTCGTCACGGAGTGTGGCGGGGGTGGGCGATCTCGCTGAGAACCGCGCCACAGCGAAACACGGACGAAGCGGCCACGTATATGAGTTTCTTGACAAAGAAAGGATCGAAAAATGAGCGGCATTCTCAGTCTTAGCTTTCGTCTGCGACAAGACCGGGGACATGGTCGTTGCGAGTGCTTCACCTTTGCGAGCCCGGACACTCTGCGGAAGAATGCCCAGCCGGCCCAAAAATCCAACTTTCAGGCTTTCAGGGAGGAGCGCAGGACTAGCAGACTAGCAGAAGCAGAAGCAGGCTTCGCCCGAGACCTGAGGAGGCAGCGACATCCTCGGGGTCGAGGCCCGGCTCCTCAGCGGGCTCAGCCTCCGCATCCTCCTCCTCTTTCTGCTCCACCGACTCCGCGCCCCCCATGCCTGCGAAGCTACAAAGAAGAGATGATCCTCAAGAGGGCTCTGCAAGAGATCTGCTGGCTTCGGCCTTAGAGTGCCGTCGGCCCTCCAGCAATCACATGTCTCTGCAACGCCCGAGAGCGAAGTGCACGTGGCAGCCGTCTGAGTGCTTGCTTTATGTGTCTGGCTTGAGTGACGCGAGCGGTTTTGACATCTCATGTAGCTGCTTTCTCGTGCGTCCTTGGGCCTAGATCTGCAGCGTGATCTCAAAACCTCAGATGCTGAGGCATCGCTGACCTGCTTGGACATGAAAACCTGGGGCTACTATTAGGGAATGCAAGTCGTAGACCTGCAAAATGGGCTTAAGCATGTCAGAATGAGATACAGAGCTGCACCTGGCGCTGTTCAACTCACCTCTGCCCTTTTCGCCGAAGCCCAGGTCTGCGCTAACATCCGCATGCCGGAGGCAACTTCCGGAGGGAAGGGGCTGAGGTAGAGCTGGGGAGATGGGAGGGGGCGGTACTACGGAAAGTGACACGATGGGGCAGCAGACCCCCTTTGCGCTTCTTCGCCTTGGCACGAGCTTGGCACGAGCTGGGAGCATGCTCGGCTCGAGGATGAAGATCAGGAAGCGGATGAGAGCCGTCAGTTCACCGGCCCAAAGCGTCGAGAACTTCGACGTCCTCTGGCTCCTTCGCTGGAAGCTGCTTTCCTACACATCTGCCTGCATCATCGAAACGCTGAGCGTCCTCGGGCGTGATTGGCGTCGCTCCTTGCACAAAGTCAGTGCACAAGGGAAGAACCGCACGCATTGCATATTATGTGCAGATTGCACTTCTCGCCGCAGAAACCACCAAGCAGATGGCCTTCGATCACAGTCGCCGAAAGGCCCAGCCGCTCGGCAGCCAGTGTGGCGCTGCGTGCGGTCTCTCTGGAAGGGTTCTTGTCACGAACCTCTGCAGGCGAAACGTTGTGCCATCGCTCTCTCCTTGAGCCAATTGCACCTTCATCTCATCATACAGCTCGAGGACCGCTTCATCAAATTGACCTGGCCAATAGAGCAGACAACCCAACTCAGGAGCTCATCTTGTGAAGTCAGGTAAGGATCCGGCACTTGCTGCAGGCCCTCACTGCAGTCTCGAATCCAACCCTGTCGGGGTCGATGCCCTCGACCCGCATTTCATCCCACAGATACCTGAGGTACTGCACGACGACGCAGGCTGTCAGCAAGCACACAGAGGAGAAGACGGAGAAGCGGGCAGGAGAATGGCGGATAGCAACGAGCACATTCGGAAGCGCATTCAGAGTAGAGGCAGCGTGGTCTATCCAGCAAGTGAGAGAACGGAGCTGGATGAGAGAGGTCGGGAAAGATAAATTGAGCATGTGAGGATCGCCAAATCCACAAGAGCCATTGCGGGCGATGACTCCTTGTCTGCTGTACTGTACAGAATTCTCAATCTCTGTAGTGGCTGATTGTCACATGGCTCGCGGCAGGGCCATGAACACTTTGGAAACATGAACGGAATCGTCGTTGACACCGATGTTGTGGCAATCGGCTGCTCAAGATGCATAGATGTGAACCTTTGTTGCCGCATACTAAAAGAGGTTCTCTCATGGATGCTATCGTAATTCGACCTGACCAGGGATGCTCGGAAAATCTCAGCCTGTCGATGTCAATATTCTCCTCGACTCCATTATGCTGGCCATGTGACTTCCCGGGAGTTGCCAGTCGGATGCTAGACTGCCCAAGCAGTTTGGGGGCTGCTCCTCGTCTATAGCCTTGTCGAGTCAGCCTTTCGGCCCCCCACCTCAAAATTTCCTCCTTGTCCGGCAGGTCTCACAAAGCTGCTATCTACTACAACTGAGGAGCAAGCCTAAAAACTGTGGAAACTCCAAGTCTTGCTTGAACAGATCCAACCCGTTCTGCTCAGAGCCCAAGCCAGACAAGAGGCCCACGTTTGGAGTATGTCCCCTCCGGCACTCAAGCTAAGATTAAAACATTTTGAGGCCACCGCAGCGCTTTCTCTGGCAGGTCGGCTTTCTGGCGCGAAAACACTTCGCGATAGCTTTTTCGGGGACTCTGTTCCCTGGGATCTGCTTGCACACACGCGCCTCCAAGCCATACATCAGGCGGCCGTAGGTCATCGCTGTGGGCTCAACACCTGCAGCCGAACAGGAACCTTCATCGTACTCAACTTCTCACTGATGTTCCCCACCTTCATTCTTCATGACTTGCAAGTGCTCGGAAGCCTTCCTGATGCACCGCAGAATGCAAAGGTGTTCTGCAAGGCAGCCTGCACTCTTGTCGGCAAAAATGTGCCAAGCTACTCCAGCTCACCGGCTGTGATCATGGAGGTAACGGCGACTGTGTGAGTGCACACATCCAACTCGTACCTGGCGCCGTGCTCTCGAGGACAGGCGAAGCTGGAAAGCACTTCCGAGAACCCCGACCCTTCGGCTCGCATCTGTTCCATCATGTCCAGGACCAGCTCCCACTTCCTCAGATGCCATCTTTATTGTACACCGCAACTCCCACCCAGGCATGCATAGCACAGCTCCAACATTCTAGGCAGCCGGCCCAGGGTATTGCAAGGAGCTTAGAGCTGTGTTCATGATTTTGATCGTCGGCCTCTATCATTGCAGGTCAAGATGCGCTGCTGCTGTTCAAGCATTCTCATCGCCATGCTGGTTGGCTGTAATCCGTCGCTAGCGGGATCTGGCCTGATGCCATCATCCCGGATCTTCTGAACGATTCCAATGGCCTGCATTACCGAATAGCAGTGGTTCTGTTCGTCCGGGACAAACATCCACAGGTGAAAACCAACCGCGAATCCTGCGACAACAGGCCACCTCTTCCCACTCGTTGCGCTTCCTGTGCACCATGATCTCCTGAGAAAACAATCAAACCCCCTTTACCATGCTGAATGCTACTGTTTGCATTTAGTGCCGATGTGTTGGTAGTTGTTACATCCGATGGGTAGGACAAGCACGTTAGTTCTTGCTGCTTCTGAAATTACTCCGATCAATATTGCCTGCTGCTAGTGAGCATTCGACATGAAGCCCGTCCTGGGCGTACTTTGTCAGCTGGCGGTTCTGGAACTCTTCGTCTAACCGGGCAGCCCGTGCTAACCTGAGCACCATAAACGGTTGACAAGGAAACGAGAACGAGACCAAACAAGACAGCAATAACAGCAATAATGATGATGTCAGCAAACACGAGCACAACGAAATCCGAAAGTAACCACCCACACTTCCGTCTTTTCACTGCACGTGGAAGTGTGACGGTGGCGATCCGAGAGGGTCCCCGGAGCGAGTCGGGTCAAAGGCTCCCAAAGCCTCAGGTGCTTCCGTGAAATCCCAGCCGATAACGGTGTGGCACTGATGTGCCTGGCGAGAAAAGTTCCGCATCGTAATGAGCCAGTGGGGGAACTCTCGGCCTCACCGCGCACCACTCGGGCCGTAGGCGAGCTAGAAGGAATCAGATTCGAGCACTAAAGAAGGTGAAAGCCTCTCAGCAGGCGACTGACACAGAGACGACGATCCGGAGCGAAGGCGTGGCAGTCCGGGTGCGTAAGCTCGTCAGCCCATTGGTTGATATCCCGCTTCACGTGAGAGGGCGCAAGGGTGCAGCCAGTGCAGCGGTTGCGGTGCAACAGGAGCATAAGCTCCATGAGAATGGCCGCCGAAAGCATCTTTCTAGACTTGCTGTCGAGGGGGGAGCAAATATTTCCCTGGTTGTCCGGGAGCAGGGGAATGATGGGAAGGCGTTCGTCCTGGTCATTCTTTTCAACGAGGAAGGCTGTGAGTCCCCAGCACATTGGACGAAGGCCCACGGGTGGCGCTCTTCAATGTAGTGGAACCAGAAGACGGAGGACTTGTCCGGGCAGGGGTCCGCGGACAGCCAGCCTCCGATGTATGTTTCCGCATCGGAGGCGCTCGCGTCACGCGAGCCCCACCACGAGGACTCAGCCCTAAAGGGGGAGTTCTGCTTGTGGGGGGTCTTGAAGCGCTCCCCAGCAGTGCCGCGAACGAGCGGGTCAGAGCCCCGGCCTCACGCCAGCTTCCAAGCCCACAGTGGTTGGAGCAGGGATTTGGTGAGGGGGCAGCAGGTCCCAGCCCTTTCTCAATCTCCTTGTGCGTGAAGACCTTGCCCTGGACGAGATCCTCCAACAGCTGCAAACCCAACAAGTCTTTGTCCCGGGCCATCTGCCATCTGGACCGTTGGACCCGTTGGGTCTATTACGCACCTAGCCACGTATTGATCTGAGCCATCAGCGTCTTTTTCCAG